ACTAGAGGGGTCAGCTACCTAGCTCGGGCGGCGGTACGGCGGGGGAATTCGGAAGCGGACCGGCTCGGGTCCGGGCTGGAGCGTGCTACCATCTGTCGGCATGAGGTGGCATTAGGACAGATGGTGCGGCGGGAGATTCGAAATCTCTGTTCAGTCAAGGGTACACAGTACCCAACAAAGAGAAATAAGAAGAATAAGGGATCAAAAATAATGTACAGAAAAAGATGAACATTAGCATTAACAGGGTGTCTTACCCTGGCAATTTCCAGCCAATTCCTCCATTAATCAAGAGATCGTTCATTGAAATTATAGTCTATACAGCGAAGTATGACCCCATGGCTTTTGTCACGCTCTTTTCGCTGGTTTGTAAGGGATACATGACGGGTAAATATTGTTACCTACCAACTTGCAAAAATGCCACCATATTTGCATGAACTTTACCTTGTGCCGAGAGTATGGTGACCTCTTTCTGCTCCAGTGCCCAAAGGATTTCGATAGCTGAATTCACAGCAAAAGCCCAACAACTTCTGCACATACGTCCATACCACACCTATTATGTCACATCAAAAAAAGAGAAAAAAGTCGTTCATTACTCTGGAAACAAAAATTATTGTCTAGGCAGCATTAGAATTCTTGTTGTCTGTGTCCAAGACCGATATTTTGGGTAAGCTGAAGCATTATATAACACACGTTTCAGGCGCTGTGTGTTTAATCGACATCGGCATTTGCGGGGGCTTTGCGGTTTGTGTACTTTTTCGTGTGTAAAATTCCACGAGAAACACGAAGGTGTCACTTGTTTTTTTTTTAAGCAAACTCGGGTCACTCGTATTCTCTGAAACAAACTGGTGCCACTTTTTTTCTCTGAAACGATCTCAAAAGCTCAAATAAGCTCTGAAAAATGAAACCGTAATGGAGGAGATATCCCAGGCTGTCCTAAGAGCCCACCCCCGCATTCAGTACTTAATCACTGCTTAAATCGCAGATTCCCGACACATGCATGATCTCCATTGTCCAGCCCCTGTGTAATTTCTAATCCCAAAACTTCTCATTTAATACTTAACAAAGGGCAAAATTTCTAAATTATTCAAAAGTTCTTTGGTGAAGGGAACCGTGAGAATGGAGATGTTGCATGTGTGAGGAATTTGCGATTTGACTGTTGATTCTTACGTAAAAGTTCGCGAGAAACACGATGGTGCCTCTGGTTTTCTCTAAAATTAACTTCCAAGCTCAAAAAAAGCTCTCAAGTTGAGGTCAAAATGGAGGGGATATCCCACCCTACCCTGAGAGTCCACCTCTGCATCAAGACAAACTCTCCATGCAAAGATAGGGAGCAAACACATTAGCAGGGTTGCCGTGTTTTCAGTTTTGGAGTCCCCAAATAAAGTGGCAGCTCTGTCAATGTATTTGCTCCCGATCTTTGCATGGAGAGTTCGTTTTGATGTAGAGGTGGACTCTCAGGATAGCGTGGGATATCCCCTCCATTTTACTTATCCATTTACTTATTCCACTGACGGAGGGTTCGAGGATATCTTCGGCATAGTATTATTACAAGGGCAATGTTTGCAAACCTCGAGTAAAATTCCTGTGCCGTGGCGTGCTTTGCGATCTATTGATTGTTCTGTCATTTAAACTTATAGAAAAGGATCAATAAACAGGGTGTTTGTTCACAACTCACACCTCAATAATCGATTCTTTGCCATAGCTTCAAGGAGGAATCATTCAAGATCGATCATTCACGCTCCGCCACTGTAAAATTCAGTTGTGAAATTGTAGAAATGGATCCTTTCAACGGATTACAATGATTGAACGCTGTAAAAAGTACAACGTACGTAAAAAATCAAGTGCGCGTTTTGCAAATTCAAAGACAGCCTGGAGCCTACCTTAAAATTTGTCGGAATCGTGGAATTGTATCTTTTGTATTTTGTACTTTTTGCGATGAAAAATCTTTGTAATCCCTTACGAGGATCCATTTCCAGAGTTTCACTACCTAAATTTTACTCAAGCATTAGCAAAATTGGCCTTGTATGATACTATGTTGAAGATCTCTTTAAACTTTCTAATCACAATGTCAGGTAACCGTAAAGGGGCTTCCTAAGGTAAGGACCTATTTATTTAAGGAACACGAAAAATTGTTGACTCAACACTTTTGTAGTTAAAAAAGTGTCCGAAAGGTTCCAACGTAGATCTTACGATTATAAAATGCTAATTTAACCACCCCCGTGGTTTAATTAGCTTTCTACTATTCTACCGTGCTAAGAAAAAACACCGCATGAACCTTCAGGCGTAGCCAAATTTACTTCGATTAAATGCAAATTTGTGGGGAAAGTTTGGCTTTTATTCTTCAAATTTTGCAGACAAATTTGTTCCTAGTTTCATTTAAAATGACTGAACTTTTCAAATATGCATCACTTTCCTTAAAAGTACATGTATTATCCGCAGACATTTGGCAAATCTCGAAGGTTCATACGTTCATATGTTACATTCCTTAGGATGGCAATATTGTAAAAAGTACATTTGAAACGTGTCGGACTTATTATTTTACAATTTAATTGTTAAATCAGGAGTCCATTTTTTTCCGTGACTATACAAACGGCCCTCACTGGAAAAAAAAAAACACATTGGATCTAGATTCCAGACTCTTGAAAACATTGACAAGAAGAGATACTCTTGATTCAATCGGATTTTTGCTTGAATCAAAACGAAATCCGCTTAAATTAAGAGGCTTGGTTTTTTATTTAAGCTAGATTCTGATTCAATCAAGAGTACTTTTTCTTGTCGATTTTTTTAAGAGTCTAGACTCTAGATCCAATGTGTTTTTTTTCCGGTGCTCACAGACCGGTGGAGGGCTTCTTTTTGTGTCTGTTGCGGTCTTGTGTGGACGCACCTGATTCTGCACTTCTGGATAGGTATCTGCGGGATCCCTCCAGTCCGACAGGGAGTCTCCCTCGGGATCCTTGCCAATCCAACGGGTTGCCAAAGGCCTGGAGCTGGAAGGAGCATAACGGTTAACAGGAGCCCCCAGTGGTTCCGACGAAGGTGGATCCTCTCCAACCCACAATCGTTCCTTTCTTGGGGTCGTCGACCTGGACCTGGACCTGGGAGTTCCCTTGATTGGAGAGGACTTTGAACGTCCCGACCCAGTCTGTGAGTAAAAAGACATACAGATTAATAGAGTACCTATATTGAGAGAGTATGGTCACTGGGGTTACCAATTGGCTAAGCCATCTTAGGCTAAATGGAGCCCTTAGGACCCAAAAATGGCGAACGCCATAAATTAATGTAATGCAAAATGACTCAAAATGTAGTTTTCTTTGCTTATCGTTACGAGAAATTTACTCAAATGCACTATTGCGACATCTTTACATATTTTTAAGACTAATCGTGTGCAATTTTTGAGAAAAATTATCTTAGATGTAGTAAGGTTGGCAGCAAGTGCGGTTGGTGATAACCGTCAAAAGTTGGCAATGACCCCCCTCCCATATCCACAAAAACCAAAACAAAGCACCGCCATTTTTGGGTCCTAAGCCTCTCCATGGGGCCGAGTGGCCATACTCTCTCAATAAAGGTACTCTACAGATTAATATAAATCGATGGACGTTATTTTTTGTGCCAGAACGACACTTGATAATCGCATCGATTAGATCCAATCTTTGGCTACTCGTCATTTTTCTCGAGGTAAGGCAAAACAACCGTAAGTCGACGGTGTAAGTCGGCAATCACATAACTCGTTTGCGGTGTCTGAAAATCTCCGCGTCTATGTTATTTTTTTAAAAAGAGAACAAACTGGCATCATTCCTTGAAGTTTATGCAGAATTTTCTTCGCGCAGAGAAGAAAAATCACGGAAGTTTTAAAGAATTGCCGTTGAGTAGTTTTCCGTTTAAAAAATAACGTATGACAGGAAGTCTGCGACGTCGCAAGCCGAGTTATGTGATTGCCGACTTACACCGTCGAAGTGCTATCTTCTGCATACTTCGTGTTTACCTTTTTTGGACACACATCAAATCCATTTTCAGGCTAGAAATTGGCAGAAAAGGGCGGTACTTTGCTTAAAAGCACTGTTTTCATTGGCTTCCTGGAGGAATAAGGTCACTCACTGCTGTCTTGCCTGAAACTACGTCATTTTTTAGCGCACTTACGACTTACTCACATGTCTTGACTTTAAATAATTAAGATGAATTTTTCTGTTATACCTATTTCAGTATTTTCATCGAAAAGAGATCAGACGAATTTTGAAGGAGATTCGATTTCGAGAATTCGACACTTACTGCTCTCTTCCCTCTCACGCCACACAGTGGAACGAGTCAATTGAAGAGGTCGGACATGAAATTTTTGACTAAAACTGCAAATTTTGAAGTTTATTTTATCACATTTTGAACTGTAAGGGGTGCTCTAAGAAGACAATTTTACCAGGAAACCACTGAATCCCTTTTCAGAACCTCAAAGTATTGTATAAACGGAGTTACATGGGTTTAAAGTTTCCAAATTTAGTCCGACCTCTCTTATTGACTCGATCCACTGTGCGGCAGCATAGGCAACTGACCGATTTCGTGTGCTCTCTTCGCTATCATGGCAGTATATCTACGCAAAATTAATAACGAATCTCACTTTTTTGCCTGAGCGCCCACTTGTGCTGGCGTTGGAGTCATCTTTGGAGCGACTTCTCGACTTCCTCCCGGAGGGATTGTCCCTTCCAGGACTCGGCGACCGGGAGGTAGACCTCTCGAAGGGATTGTCCCTTCTAGGACTCAGCGACCTGGAGGGAGACCTGCGTCCTCTCTTGGGTGAGGTAGAGACTCTTTCCTTCTTGGGTGAGGTTGGGTATCCTTTAGATGATCCTCCCGTAGTAGCTGAGTCTGACCATGCATCGAGTCCTCGAGGTCGAAGGCTGCTAGATTGACGACTTAGGAGCCCAATACTAGATTTGTATTCTTCACCTACATGAAGATTCTCAAAGGGATCATTCAATCGGGTTTGATGATCAAAATAAGCCTACCCAGAGACAAGAGACCCTCCACTAGTATCTTGGCCATTGTGGAAGCTTTTACCTTCGGGACTTAAGTCCCGAGAGGTGGGATACGAGCTTATTTCACTTCAGCTATCATAATCATTGCTGTTCCCACAGGAATTAAAATTTCCAGGTGGCTTGCTACTTTAGGTGGTATAAAGTCTAATAAATTCAGACCCCTTGGTCTCTGATTGGTAAGCATTGCACTGGTTCAGGTGCTTAAGCATTGTACTGTTGACTTACCTACATGGTTGATGTTCAACAACGTGTTGGCAGTTTCGTTTTGCAAACAAGCCGAAAATGGCCGACGTTTGGGAAACTTGTTTGGCTCATGACGTCATCCGAAGCTCATCATCGACCATTTAGGTAAGTCAACAGCCGAAACTAGGGTGATGACTGTTGCTCCCTAATAATTGTCCATAAGGTATTGTTGAAACCCCGAAAGTAAAAGCTTCCATCTGTCACTAGGAGGCCAGTGGAGGGTCTCTTGTCTCTGAGCCTATCCGAAAGGTTATCGATGCGTCTGGGTAGAGTACCTATATTAAGAGAGTATGGCCACTGGGTCCCATGGAGAGGCTTAGGACCCAAAAATGGCGGTGCTTTGTTTTGGTTTTTGAGGATGGGAGGGGGGTCATTGCCAACTTTTGACGGTTATCACCAACCGCACTTGCTGCCAACCTTACTACATCTAAGATCATTTTTCTCAAAAATTGCACACGATTAGCCTTAAAAATATGTAAAAAAGTCGCAATAGTGCATTTGGGTAAAGTTCTCGTTACGATAAGCAAAAACAACTACATTTTGAATCATTTTGCTTTACATTAACTTTATGGCGTCCGCCATTTTTGGGTCCTAAGGGCTCCATTCAGCCTAAGATGGCTGAATCAGAGGTGGTAACTCCAGTGGCCATACTCTCTCAATATAGTTACTCTACGTCTGGGTGTTTCGGCTCAAAATTTAGACAGATCCCTCACTTATCGACTTAAATTCTGCCGTGTTAAGGAAGAACGTCGTATGAACCTTCAGAATTTGCCAAATTTCCTTCGATAAAACATGAATATCCTGCTAAACTGATGAATATTTTCCTTCCAATTTTTCAGATAATTTTGTTCGCAATTTTGCTTGAAGTCCCTGGAACTTTCAAGGAAAAATATTCATATCTTTCCTCGAAAATAAAAATTTTATCGAAAGAAATTTGGCAACACTCGAATGTTTATACGGCGCTCTTCCTTAGCATGGCAGAATTGCGAAAAGAGTATCAAAATTTTATCCGATTCTCTGCTTGTGATTTTTGTCGAACAAAACGCAGAGGCACACTTATTATTTTCGACTGACAACACTCATCAGTCGCACAAGGGATCGAGTCAATGGGAGAGGTCGAAAAAAATTTTGAAACTTTCAAAGCTCATAACTCCATTTACACAAAACTTTGAGGTTCCAAAATTGATTCCATTGGTTTCCACGTGAAATTTTCCCCCCTTACAATTTATCATGTGATGGGATCAACGTCAAAATTTGCAGTTTTAGTAAAACAAATTTCCTGAGTTTTCTGTTATTATAAGCTTCTACTTAAACCTTGGTTCGATGGTCGAATCGAATACCGAAAAAGGGGCGAAAGTCAGCCCTTATTTTGGGAGGCTCCTCAGAGCTGGGGCCGAATTTTGTCGGTCCTTTCACCGTACTTAAATATACTTAGGAAGCGTCTCGACTGCACATTAAGTCCGGCTTAGCGCTTCTGATTGGCCGGTGGTGCGGTTTGAACTCATCGATGGCTATCAGTTGCACTCCGTGTGCTAAAGCCGACAAAATTCGGCCCCTGGTTGTTTCATTAAAATTACATGATCGAATTTATTTGGGAATAAATTTGTTGCGAGTCCCTTTATATGAGCGCTACATGTGCTTACAGTTTCTAGTGTATCTCTCCTGTAATTTTCATGTTTCCAATTCAAGAATAAAATTACACTCACTTGTTAGATCGGTGAAAGGGCCGACTCCGAAAACGAGATTGCCTCTGCCCTTATGTTTCTCATTTAACTCATCAATAACAATCAAATTGTCTTTGAAAATCTGCATTCTTTTTCGTGTTTCGTCTTCTGACTTGTAGCTCTTTCCGTACGCTTCAGCGTATAATGCAAATTTTTCCTCGAATTTCATTTCAGATACCTGTCTCTAAAAACAAATATCGACGAGAATTATTTTCGGCGATCAGTTACAAAAAACCAGTGACGAGGCGTGAATGATCGATTATCGATATTCTCCCATTTGAAGCTATGGTATATAATCGATTATTAAAGTTTCCGTTGCGAACATCCCGTTTATCGATCCTTTTCCATAGGTTCAAATGGCAGATCAATCGATATATCGCAAAGCACGCCACGCCACTGGTTAGAAATTCCCAAAAACCGTGAAACTTAGTGTTTTGAAGATGAAGGAAATGAGGATAAAAAGTTTCACGTCTATCTAAAGGCCTTATCAATTTGAGACAGTTTAATTTCAAAATGCAATATGGTAGGAAGATCTGAAACTCTTGCGATCGGATGATCTGATATTATGCTTTTTGTTATAAAATCAGAAGAGTAACGCGTAATGCATAATTCCTAAGTCGCAAAGATCTCCGGGGGGGAGGGGTTGGACCGCAAATCGGTTAGGGTTCGTACCTCCCTCGTTTTTTCTTATCAAGATTATGTTCTAGAACTACGTGGAGCCGTGGAGCACATAGGAATGGAGATGTTGCATGTGTGAGGAATTTGCTATTTGACTGTTGATTCTTATGTAAAAGTTTGCGAGAAACACGATGGTGCTACTGGTTTTCTCTGATACTAACTCCCAAGCTCAAAAAAAGCTCTCAAGTCGAGGCCAAAATGGAGGGGATATCCCACGCTATATTCCTGAGAGTCCACCTCTACACCATGACAAACTCGCCATGCAAAGATAAGGAGCAAATACATTGACAGGGCTGCCACTTTATTTGGGGGCTCTAAAAATGAAAACACGGCATCGTTGCTAATGTATTTGCTCCCTATCTTTGCACGGAGAGTGTGTCTTGATGTAGACGTGGACTCTCAGGATAGCGTGGGATATCCCTTCCATTTTGGCCTCAACTTGAGAGCTGTTTTTGAGCTTTGAAGATGATTTCAGAGAAAACCAGTAGCACCATCATGTTTCTCGCGAACTTTCACATAAGAATCAACAGTCAAATCGCAAATTCTTCACACATGTAACATCTCCATTGTCTAACATCCATTCCAAAACTATTCCAGTTATCAAGAAACTACCCATATGCACATAAAACGAAGTGCCCTCACCAGGTATTCCTCCTCGGCCAACGCTTTTTTTTCGCTTAACGGTGCATAAGCTCCAGTAGCAAAGCATTTTGTAGGAAAAAACTTTTGAAGGTCTTTATCATTGAAGCTGCACGTGCAATACGCTCGATCTAAGTCTCCGTCCTGAAGACACTTTCCGGTCGCCCAAGGTTTGTTCACCAGAGGGGCTCTGCCCCACCGAGAATTGCAGTAAACATCACAGTTCTCCTCATTTAGCTTGGTCGGGTGTTTTTCGGTGCATAACGAATCACAGTGAACTAAATCAGTAAAAAAAAAAATAATAATTAAACACGGATAACACAACGGTTTTGTTGCAAAATTTTGATGCATCGCACATTGCAACATCCTTAAGGACGATGCAAACAAAAATCAGTTAAGGACAATTAACTCTAAATAGTAGCACCGACATAGGAAACCCCTTCGTCACTATCAAAGTAAAATACTCGAGGAATAAGATAATGATATATCTCAGGATTTTTTGCATTATCACATTATATTTATTATTCTCCTTTGATATATTGATACATATTTTTTTCCCATCAATTTAAATGAAAATAATCAATGCAGAGTGTGCAAACATTTCAAAATCATGAGTTAAAAAACGCTGACTATGCGAGTATGAATATCAAAGCCGAACAGAGCGGAGCGGCGTGCTGCCAGCGCGAGAGGCTCACTGGCGCCTACAAACCTAAGTGAATACTTCACGCATTGCACAATGCTTGAAGTATTCAGTTAGGTTTGTAGGTGCCAATGCGCGTTGCGCGCTGGCCGCCCGCCCGCCGTGCGGCGGCGCCTGAAGCAAGTATTTCACAACAGAGGTGTTGCACAGTTTTATACGAAATTGAACGTTTTAAGAATGACAGGCATCCTTCAAAAGTACAAATCTTCCTCGCAAAATAAATCAGGATACTTATCGTACACAAGAAAAATCTAAGAGCCTTTAGCTGAGGCAAATACAGAGGTTTGTCCGATTCAGGTATAACAAGGTGGTAATTTCTTGAAAGATAATTAAGTCCTGTTACACCAAAGAGGTGTAGAGAGTTTTAGTGAATTTTGTCTCATGGAATTGACGCTCCCCCATTTTTACCAAAACTCTCAACTATATATTATTCTCCGTCGGACCAAACGGACAAAACAAAAAAAAAACAAACAAACCTTTATTCTTCTAAGACATTATACATTTTCATCCAAAAACGTCGCGAGCAATCGTCGTTTGTATTTACATACGGGCCAATTAACTTTGGGTCCCAACTGGCAAGTGGACCAAAACTCCCGTGCCGAAAAAACGCGTGGATGTAAATTACTGGAAAAACAGGTGCGCGGACAAAAAATCGTTGACGGAATGTCCAGGGGCGGACTGGTAGTCGAAAAGTTAGGAGGCGACCTAAATGTGGGGGCCCCTCCTGTCGTTCGGGGGCCCCTCTAAGAAGGTCCGGGGGCCCTCCCCCGAAAAATTTTGAAAATTTCACACTTTTTAAACGCAATTTTAAGCATTATTGGAGTTAAAATTCCACAGTTCCTGAACTTCAAAATAACCCATTCTCAGGATTCCTCGGGGGCCCCTTCATCACATAGCTCCAGGCGACCTTTCATGTCTCTTAGAGACAAATTTTCAAGGATTTTGGGGCCTTTCAGTGACAGAAAAGGATAGGAAAATTACAACATTACGGGGGAAAAAAACGAAAAAATTCGCCGCGGGGCCCATTCGGGACCTCCGCGGCAAATTGTTAGGAGGCGATCGCCTCCCCGCCCCCATGGCCAGTCCGCCCCTGGGAATGTCCTATAACCCAAAGATGTATTGCTCTACTTTTCAATTTTAATATATAAATGGCCGAAAATGCGCTGTCTGTTACGCTGACTGTTTACCGCGTAAGAGACACCATATTCTCGGAATTTTTTACATAATATTAATTGAGAAGTTGAGCAATAAATCATTAGAAAGTGTTATAATACGTAACTCTTTGAAGATTAATACGAAAAAATGCGAGTTATTATCATTTCTGCTAAAAATATGACCAAAAAATGTGTTATCTGTTACAGTGACAAAACTATTCCTGTTATCGTGAAACCATCCGTGTTACAAATTACGTAGATTGCACGCTGAGGAGTAGATTTCAGACTTCTCTCACATGTGCCCACTGTGTTTTCAAACCGATTTTCCTCTCAGAAAGTGTTGTCAGTTAGCTGAATCTCTCGCGTGCAACAGACCCAGTAGGTAAAAAGTTAGAGGGTCGAAGTCAGATATTAATTTTTCCCTCGGACTGCGCGACTGAAAATTATAACGGCGATTTTCAATCTTCAGCAAAAAACGTGCTTCCATTATCCAAGAAGCTAGTTGCATGTTGTAATCACTCCCTTCAAATCCACCAGGAAAACTTTTCGTTCTATTTTCCAAGAAGTTCGTTGCGTGTTTTAATCGCCTACAGTGTGAGGACACTTGCTCTATGATTTGAGTGCAAAAAACTAGCGTTGACATGACAGACGGTGACGCATGGTGCTTGAAATATGAGAGATCATCCTGAAAACCAGGAAAAAGAAAGCTGAAAAATGCTTTCTGTGTTGACGGGGTGAGAGGATGACGAGAAAAATGAGGATCCATTTTTAGCGCAGCTGTTTTTGGTGGCTACCATGCAGAGTTTGGCGTATTTTGGAGAAAGAAACCAAGAGCAAATATACTGAATCGAAGAGGAATATGAAGCGCGTAAATTCTATACATACATGTAAAGTTCGTTTTTATTTGACTCAATTGCTCGTGGTTTCTTATACTGCCGTGCTAAGGGAAAACGCCGTATGAACATTAGAGAGTTGCCAAATTGCCTGCGATAAAATGCATATTTTTGAGAAAAGCTATGAATATTTTTCTTTGTAATTTTTTAACTATTAAGATCAAATTACGAACGAAATTCCCTGAAAAATCGACAGAAAAATGCTTTTAAAAATATCCGAAACTGCATGATTTATCAAAGGAACTTGGCAACGCTTATAGGCTCATAAAGCGTTCTTCCTTGCCACGGCAGTATAGCATTATCGCATCCGTTCGGACGTGCACGGGCATAACTCAGCAAAAAATGGAGGCAAGCTGATGAACTGAGCCTGTTAATTTTAAACAGGTCATTTCGAAAAAAAAGTCAATTTTACACAAAAAAGTAAAAACTGCAAAATAGTGCAAAAAATCAAAGTAGAGAAATGCTGAAAGGGCAGGATAATGGCAGATAAAAGGATTCACATTTAGCTGAAACCCACATTCAGCTGAAAATTCAGACCCCATTCTCTATATTTTTATCATGCGCACCCTTTTCATTTTACGCTTCCACTCCTTTCATCATTAGCAGAAAAAAGCTTAATCTTTCATTTATAAAATCGCGCTTTTCTCCTTCATTTAGGAAAAACTCATCTTGACAATAAATTCGTGAATATTTCTGCTGAAATCCAGTCACTTTTTCTCTGCGCCCAAACGGCAAGGGATGTGCAAATTAGAGCATTTCTCGCGACCCGCACCACAAAGGTTTTCTTTTTATTTGGCCCCTTTTTATTCTTTCATTATTATTAATGAAACCGGTGAAATGTCATTGTTAAATCTCATATTTTGTGAAATATGGTGAAAATGAAGGATGTATTCTTGACTATTTTTTGCATTATTGTCTCAGACGCTATAACACATGTTTATGTCATGCAGCGCAGTATTCTATTAGTGCGGCTGCTTTTTCACCACTATATGCGAAAAAAAAAAAAAAATCCAAGAGCACTTAAGTCAACACACTATGCCATTCTTTGAATCATGATCACGACAATGCCGCGAAGTAGTGTCCTCTCACGCGCGTCATCAATCAACTTAATGCAAAAAACTTTACCGTTGACACTTTACGGCCTTACAAATTTCCAACTGTACAGCTTACAGCTTTACAGCATACCAGCATGGCTCAGAAAGCCATATACTGTAGACGGTAAGTCACTTTGGTTAGAAATTATGGATCTCCGAGCCATTTTTTATGTGTCTCAGAGTCATACCTTTTTTTGAGTAAATAGGCATATGATTTGCCGTACATTTTTTCTATCAAGTTGGTATGAATAAAGCTCATGCATGCGTCAGAGATGTTCAACGTATGTACGATACTTTTACCAACGTAAAATCTCGCAATCAACTCGGGAGTTTTCACTGTAATGAACAATGGAGAACTTTTTCATCATAATTTGTGCAAAAAAAAAAGGAAAAAAAAAGACCAAAACTGCTGTTAATCGAATACGCGATTTCACATTATTCCGAGATGGCCTGCAATGTAGGTTTTGCTTTGCAAGGATAGGGCGGGGCTCCATAAAAGGGGTAAAAGCACCAAACCCGGATCGATGAAAGAGCCTCCTAAAAAGGGGGCTGATTTTGGCCCCTTATTAGGTATTCAATTAGACCGCATCGATCATCAAAGATCGATTCTACGTTTAAATATATGGAAGAATCGATAAGCTCCAATCATAATGGGTACATTTTTCCGATCTCGGACGGAGAAAACCCGATTTTAATCCTGAAAAGTAATCGATTTTCCGTAAAAATTCGCAAAAATCCGATACAACCGATTGATGTATCGGCATTTATTTATTAATGAATCGAAAATAAACAATTTAAATCCCGAAAAATCATAGATTCTCCGTAAAAAATCGCTGAATATCAATTTAATCAATCAGTATATTAATTCGGCAACATTGAAAATCGGTTTAACGTTTAAAAACACGCAGAAATCATTCTGCTTAAATTGTGTAAACAACGAAAAAAAACCCCGGAGATACATCAATTCAACAAGAAAACGTCAAAAAATTAAGCCGGATTTTGACCCCTTAGCCTCCCTCCCCGTAACTCAAATCGGTTCCTGTACTCATCTTGAAATTATTTCCCGAGTTTTTTGTTCTTACAAGCTTCCATTTAAACCTTGGTTCGATGGTCGAATCGAATACCTGAAATGGGGCCACATTTTGGGAGGCTCTTATTTATTCCAAACAACTCACCAGAAACAAGGAACGACTTGGAACCTTCCCCTCGTGTAGAAAATGTTAAAAAAGCGTGTTCTAAATTGCGAAAATTGCACGTGAATTTCAGACTTTTTTAATGAGACTTTCGTGATTTTTGTGTCATTTTCCCTCAACTAAGTCTATTATCTCGGCTGTATTGCGTGCATTAGACCCATCAGAGGTCTATTCTGGGTACTTTTGGACTCACTTGGCGTGGGGCTCAAATTAAGGGGAATTTCAGTCGTTTTTAAGCCTCGCATGGTCTGTCATCAAAAAAGGCCAATGAACTTAAAAAAGGCGATAAAAAAATCTCCGGGAAATATACGGGGACCCCATACATCATACTGCATTGTAAGAGGGAGTTCACACGGACTTTATCGGTAATTTTCAGAAAGATCATTGGATTTACTGTCTTGTAGGAAATTTTATCCAAATAAGCAGAATCATTCAGCGTTTTAATTTTCCGAAAATAATTGGCATCCTGCTAAATTTCAGCTTTAAAGCCGATTTCGATCCATGTCCACGCGAACATTTAATAATAAGTTGGTTCAAAAAGTACCTGCGTATCTCTAAAAATATTACGAATTACTTTATTACAATATAAAACCAGTTACAAGTTTGTTTTTTCATCTCTCTCAATTTTTTTTTTTACCCCTGATGAGTTTTCGTTAAATTATGAATTTCAACAATTAAAGGAAGGGTCAATCTCTAGACACTTAGGGTCAAATTTTTAGTGCCTTGGTCGTTGAGCTCCTAGGGAAAGTTCAACAAAGGGCAACATAAATAATTCAAAGCGCCAAAAAACTCCGTATCCTGGCAAATTTTTCAGTTTGTAGTTGCATGCGCATGCACTTTGCTAAAAATTTATCGGCACTACGAACACAACTTTGATGGAGGGTGAATAAATGCGAAGGAAAAGTGTCGAAGAGGGAAAATGATATTTTTCCTCGTTTAAAGTTGAAGTTTTTTAGTCACCCAAACCTTTTAATGGGAGTTGGCGAACGTTCCCATCACATTTAATTATTTCAGCTGCTTTAATACATATCGACGGTGGGAAACGTCCGCAACCACGTATCTCGGTTGACGAAGCTGCAGACTTCCAGTCATACTTTATTTTTAAAAAAAAATTCAAGTCAATTTAACAGCGTTAAAAACTGCGCAAGCTGTGGAATAACGACGGTGAAAATTCCGAGCCACATTTCTAGATTCCGGTGTTAAAATCTCTGCTCCTATCTTTTTGGAAGAAGCAATTCAACATCATTTGAAATTTTTCGAAAAATTGCTTCACACAGAGGAGAAAAATTGTGGAACGGCGACGTGGCGTGGTTTGCGATATATCGATTGATCGGTCATTTAAACCTACGGAAAAGTATCGATAAACAGGGTGTTCGCAGGCGAACACCTTAATAATCGATAGTTTACCACAGCTTCACATGGGGAAATATCGATAGATCGCAAAGCACGCCACGCCACTGTTGTGGAAGGTTTTAAAAATTCTCTTAATTTCAGTAGTAAAAATTTCTAAAATTCTCAGTAGTTCTCTTTTTAAAAAAAGTAAGAATAGCAGGAAGTCTTCAACGTCGCAAACCGAGATATTGATTGCATTTTGTAAAAAAGGAACCACTATCTGTGGCTCTCCCATAAAAGCTTATATCTGCATAGGGAAACCAATGGCATGTATGTTGTTTCTAAAATGGGCCAGAAATAGTGGTTCCTTATTGAAAAATGTAATCCATATGTGGTTTGGGAGTTTCACCATTAATATAGTACTTTCTGACCCGTAAAATGTAGATCTCTACCAAAGCCTTTGAAGTCTCTCCAGAATCGTTAAAATTATCTCTTAGAGTACCATTTTATCACCATACATTTTTTTTTGTTGCTCACGTCATTTTTTAGAGGGCTCTTAAGAGGATTGTAACGCGTAAATTACAATTCTCTGCCGAGTCATTCTGATACATTCTCCAGAAGGTATAAGGTGTTTACCTATATTTCACATGAAATTACCCATACCTTCCAAATATTTTCATTTTAAAAAAATCGCACAAGTTTGCACAAGTGGAGACAACTTTAAGTACCTTATACATATTATTTGGAAAGCTACGTCGTAAATATTTCGACCTTTGGTTTGCTTTTTCTCGAGAAAAATAATTAATTAGGTCCTAAGTCGGTGTTTAAAATTACAGTATTGTTACGGTTACCACGGAAATATTTCAAAGTTAAATCGGCGATTTTTACTTTTGTCAATGTTCCGATACGTACCCTCTGCGATTGATGATAGATAAGCCATCAGGATAAAAATCTCCAAAAGAGACCTCGTCATCTCGGTTTCTTGCGTTTGTAGACTTAGAGAGTTCAGGTTCTGACTTCAAAGTGCCAAAAATCGACTGATACGCCACCACAGAAGTTTTTAGTACGCAAATTGTCAACGCATTCCCCAGATTTTTGAAGTCAAACGTCATGACACGTTTTCCCCAATGCCAAGGTACTCACACATTGGACAAACTCCCTTACAGCATCCATGGGCATCCTCAATTTTCGTTACCTATCCTTCTTCTTGTTTTTAAAGAGAGAGATGAAGAAAGAGAGAGGAAGAAAAACAAATTATTAAGACATGTTTAACGAGACAAAACAAAAGAGTTGAATAGAAGTAAGTTATCCTCATTCTGTGGCACCAAACCGTAAGTGATATTGCGTGCGAGATATCTCGAGAGAAGTTTAAACAGGCTGCTGATGAATTTTTTTTAAACGTCGCAGTCATTTGGTAAAATCAGGCAAATGTCTCTGCAGATAGCAAAATTTTGACAGCAGTTAATGAAATATTTCAAAATTAAGACTGATGCAGTGATGCACATACCTCTATAGAAAATTCTTTTTGTCTTGATCAATGAAGTATGTTGTCAAAAATTGGCAAAAGAATCAGGATTTCAATGTATTTGACTACTTGTCTAGGCGGTTGACAAAATGCCTCTTATTTGAATTTTTGGCTGCGAAATACATACAAAAAGTTTCATGGATGGTTCGCTATCAGCCGGCTCCCTTTCTATTCAACGTCACTTTTTTTTAATTTTTTTTTTTTTTGGATGGTTTATGGGCTTTGTGTCTAGCACCTGCAGCCAACACTAGACTAGAGGAGATAGATAGTAAAAAATTAAAAGTCAATTTTTTTATATACTCGAAATGAATGCACGCTCTCCGAAGTTTCATTTTATGCACAACCGTTGATTTTCGGAAAAGCTCTCTAAAAAGCAAACGTCGTCAATGTGGAAAACATGTGTCATCAAAACAACGTTGAAACAAATGTGTGTGTCGTTAATGTGGAATATAAGGTATTCATGTGGGAAAAAATGCGCTAATGCACTACTGATGTTAAAAAAAGTACCCTTTTGTTTCCAAAAAATCGCATCTCATCCGCATTTTGAAGGAATTTTTGACAGTCGTGCCATTTTCCACAAAACTTACCTAGAAGACGTTCGTGATAAGTTCACATCAACTCCGATTAGAAAATTTGCAAATTCTTCAATAGTTGGTCACTGTGGAGATATCTGCTTAAATATACCTCATCCTGAGCAAATGAGCAATGCAGCCTTCCATACGGCCGTGCTGAAGAAGAATGGCGTATGAACACTCAGGAGTTGCCAAATTTCCTTCGAAAAAATATTCATTTTGAGGAATATTATGAATATTTTTCCTTGAAATTTTCAGAAGTTTTGGATCAAATCACAAACAAAATTATCCGAGAAATTGGTAGACTAATATTCGAAAATTTTATTGAAAATGGAGATGTTGCATGTGTGAGGAATTTGCGATTTGACTGTTGATTCATGTGTAAAAGTTTGCGAGAAACACGATGGTGCTACTGGTTTTCTCTGATATTAACTCCCAAGCTCAAAAAAAGCTCTCAAGTCGAGGCCAAAATGGAGGGGATATCCCACGCTATATTCCTGAGAGTCCACCTCTACATCATGACAAACTCGCCAAGCAAAGATAAGGAGCAAATACATTGACAGGGCTGCCACTTTATTTGGAGACTCCAAAAATGAAAACAGGGCAACCCTACTAATGTATTTGCTCCCTATCTTTGCATGGAGAGTTTGTTTTGATGTAGAGGTGGACTCTCAAGATAGCGTGGGATATTCCCTCCATTTTGGCCTCAACTTGAGAGCTTTTTTTGAGCTTGGGAGTTGATTTCAGAGAAAACCAGTGGCACCATCGTGTTCCTCGCGAACTTTTACATAAGAATCAACAGTCAAGTCGCAAATTCCTCCCACATGCAACATCTCCATTAGTGATTTGCTAGGTACAAATTTTTAAGAGCAGCCCAAGACAATGATAACAGTGGAAAAACAAGGATGAAAAAAACGGGAAACAAGGCTAAAAATACGGCTAAAAGGTATTTTTAGCCTTGTTTCCCGTTTTCTCTTCCTTGTTTTTCCACTGTGATTTGCTAGGGTATATTTGGCAACGCCTGAAGGCTCAAATGGCGTTTTGCCTTACACGGTAGCATACTAGCGGACAATACGTCGCTTGCCTGACATAAGGGCGTAACTACACATTGAGATGAGCCCTGAGGAACACTGAATTGTATGGGGGGCAGGGTTCATGTCAGAGTGTAGTTACGTCCTTATGTCAGGTAGGCAACGAATAATTTATTGGCAGCATTAGCCTCTAGGTCTGGTATCGTAAGAGGGGGAATTGTCAAAAAAAAAAAAAAAAAAAAAAAAAAAAATCGAGTGTGTAGGTTTTATTGTCACAGCATCTGCAGCGAGGACCCAAATTAATCGAATTATACGAATGTTTTTTAACTCCTGCTAAATTCACGGATAGTGCACGAGAGAATCGCGAAGAAAAGAGAATAATAGTCCATCATACTCAAAGAAGAACACCAGTTTTGTGCGTATCTACTGGGCACTTGTCTCGATGACAGTTTCTCTTTGGTTGTCCCTTCGTTGTCACTCTTCTCTTTGTTGAAGACCCTGATAATCGATCTTTTTCATAGGTTTGAGTGGCGTATCAATCCATATATCGCAAAGCACGCCACGCCACTGATCCTACCAAAAGGCGCGTAAACCCGAACTTTCCGCCCTCCAAAATATCGTTTTCCGTCAAAAACGTGGGATTTGAACCACACGCGATTACAAAACATCATATTCACGGTCAACGGAGATCAAATCCTCCTGTTTTCTGTCCACTAAAAGCTATTGTTCAGAATCACACAGTTTTTCGAATATCTCAGAGCGCGAAGTTACGGTTTTTGTCATGGGAACGGAGTTCCCCATGATATTACAATCGTTCCGTTGCTTTCGCTATGGGATTCCCTATACCTCTGCGACCTTGAGCGTTTCGCCCAGTCTCCGATTTTTGGTTGATTTTCCGATGTATCAAAAACCGTTGTATTTTTTAGCCAATCATGTCTCTACGTCAAGTTGTGTTGATTGCTAAAATTCGCTTTCAGCGAGTTTTTTTCCACCTTGAGATGTCGTGTCTGACTGGTAAATCTGCGCAGAACCAAAAAGTTCCGTTTTTAGGCAAATTCTTTTTTTTGGGAGGTTCTGATTGGTTATTTTTCGC